AATAAAATTCAGACGTGGAAAAGCATTGCAACAATTTTCGATATAAAGGAAAAAAATGTATTTTTTTTGTACGTGCACGTGTGGATGCGTGGGTGTATGTGGGGGTGTATAATACAAAGAGAAAACATGTGCGATGTGTTTTGAATGAACGACACAGTTACTATTCCTCGCGAACATAAGTTTTACTACAAAATATAAGCCGGTAGTTGGGCAATAAATTTAAACTGAAAGAATATAAACATGCGATTGATGGTACGATAAGGCATTTCCTTGTTATTCAGCACGTATTGTAAAAGTATGGAGCTTTACGCGTCCGGTTTCTGTCATTGGCTTCCTTTCTTTAAGAACTATGGCCATCTAGTCAATGTAAACGAGTCGAGGTGAGGACGTAACGTCTTCATTTAACATTCAACATTGCCCTTTGGTACATAAGGAGGTTACTAACCAGATCGAATCCCTAGACAAAGGAGATTAAACAAGACATTCAATGACATTATTGAATGCCAACAATCTCCTAAACTAAACATTCTATTCTTACGAGAATTAAAAGATTATAGAAGAAAAGATTATACCGCTTTAAATGCAAAATTTTAGAAGTTTAAAGTTTGTTATATACCTAGAGAGAAAAGCCAAATTAACATAGAAAATCAATAACATATTTACAAACTCTCCCCTTCTTTCGAAGGGGGGTTTATAAATTTAACGTTTTAAAACGATTTAATGATATATATTAAGCGTATTACACAAAATATAAACGGTATTTTTATAAAAAATAAATCATTATTTTTATTAAATGAAACGAAAATTTTTATTTTTAAAAATATAAATTTATGAAGATAAGAGCCGAGAAAGCTTTACAAAACGATTTCGTTTCTCTCCTCCTTCCTCTTCTACTTTAAAAATTTCATAAAAGGATATCAAAAGCTAATATCTTTTAGTTAAAGAACATCTCTCATAGCTTTATTTACTTGAAAAGATATAAATAAAATTTCGTGAATGATGTTTTCATTCTATATACGTTTGCTTAAAGCATTTGGACATTTTCCAGATGTTGGCTATTATCATTTAAGTTGTCACCACCATTGATAGATTAAAACGTTAGAAAAAATAATAATAAATATATAAATAATTTCCTCTGTTTTATTAAAAAATACTCTTAATTATTTAAAAGATTCTATTAAAACTTATAAATAGTAAAAGGGAGTAACAATTAAGCTTTTAAAAGAAAAAAAAAGGGGTTATGTCAGTTTGAGTAGTTTAACAAGTTAACTGGAAAGAATAATATATTCAAGAGGGACAAAGAGATCAATATCAGTGACAATATTGCTACATCTTTAACTAAATTCAAATTTATTCCATGATAAATAACTAAAAGTTACTTACTCGAGTAGAACTTTCGTAATTTTTTAAATGGAAAAGGTGAAATTTTTCATTCTAGTTTAATTTTTTAAACTTAATTATTTAATGTTGATTAATAAAAAGCGTTGCTTTTATATGATTTATTTCAAGTTTAATAACAAATTATTGAACTTTTATTATTAAATAGCATTTTAAATCATAAAATAGAATGATAAATGCGTAGGGATGGAGATATATCTTTGTTGAAATTAAGTTTCAAGCATTAATTTACGAGTTACATTGATTAAATGTATCAATTAATACGCTTAGTTCAATTCATAATCGATATAAAATTCAAGAATTTAAATTTAAATTATGCAAAATTTATCTTGAATTAATTCTAAATTTTATCTTCAAACAAATGTAGAATTATTGAATTTTTCTCCCGTTAAAAATCCTTTAATCAAATCGCATTTAAGAAGATTTAAGTTTCAATTTACAATGTATTTTTCTCGTTAAGATAAAAAAATCATAAAATAAAGACCATGTCTTTAAAAAAATGTAAATTTTTAAACAAAAAGTAAAGAGAATAGGATGGAATGACGATGCATTTAGGTAAAGCAATGTACAAAATCCTTCATAATATTCCATCTTGGAGTGGTTTGGCAGCACTTGTGGGTTTAGAAACAGGATGCGTGTTGTGGACAGCCAGCCATTCATTCAATGATTTATGTCTATCGTTGAGTGCGTAACCCCTAACACATCTCTACCATTTTACTAGTGGAAACTCCATTCGTTTTGAAATCGGAGAGACGAAGATGGTGATTCCAGAGGGTTCAAAACAGCGTTTGCTTGGCACACGTCCAATATCCTCCTCATACTCGCACACACAAACTACGATTAATCCGTCATGTAAGTATCCTAGTACGTTCAGGTTCAGTTACTTTACTCGGATATCATATATAGTGTACCCAAAATCAAGAATGCCTTTATTAGGTTGGAGAGAAGAGACGACATAGAAGATGACATGTTTGAATTTCCCATCAGCTGCCCTATTTCCTATCACGGATTTTTTTTAACCTTCTACTCATAAAATTTTATCATTCATCGTCTTAAAATAAATTTATTTCCGAAAATTTCGAACTTTTTTCTACCATTAAATCTTATTTTTCGTGCTTCTTCACCCTTTTATAGGCAAGTAGAATGACTTGAATCTTCTCGATATAGTAACGTTTTTAATCAAATATTCAATAAAACATGTTTAAAATATTTTATAAACTATTCTTTAAGCTGTAAATAACTACATAATATAGTTATTACTATTGAATTCTAACACAGTAATCCTCAATGCTGGAATTCGTTAACTGAATTGCGCTCTCGTTAATACTATTTAAATCGATGTTATCCTAAAGTTGCATTTTGTTCTGACGTGGCTCCTTATCTTTTCCAAAACCTAATTTCAAAACTAACTCTTTAGCTTTTGTTTTGTTTCGCTAACTTTAGTGAAATTAGCTCCTGTTTTTTTCTATGCATATATGTCTCTTCCAATCGATTTCCATAGAGTCAGACCGACAAATCGCTTTTCATTTTCAAGTGAAACGGTTTTAATGTAAAATGAAATGTAGTGAAAAAAATAAAGTAAAATTAAGTTTTCTGATGAGAAAAATTCGAAATTTTATAAATCTACTTTATAAAATCCTACTTAAATTTACTCTCAAGCTTATGTCTTACATAATTGCATTAAAGTACTTTAACGTGCGATAGTGAATTAAAGAAAGAGATTATTTATACTCATTTAATAACTTTTTTAAACATTTTAATTTAAAATAAACATTATAAATTAATAAAAATTGTAATTTTTTTTAAATCTGTTATCTTATATTCTCTTGAATTAAGCAAAATAATAATTAACTTTCTTAAAGAAATAAGAGATGTGTATACATTATTCCCTTGTTTTTTGAAGAATTAATCACTATATTAATTAATTTACGAAATATTATAAAATAATTAATTTAAAAACTTACTTTTTATTTAAGTTAACTCATATTATTTCTTAAATTTACCAATATAATAAGTAGCTCCTTAAAGAAGTACGCGAACTTATACATACAAACCCTTTGTTTCTTTCGGTAATTAATCATTAAACCTCTTAATTTACAAAATATAAAGTAATTAATAAAAAAGCACTTATTTTTTTATTTCAATTATCATATATCAGCTCCTAAATTAAGACATTTAGCGATTAATTCTTCAAAAAAACAGGAGGATATATATGAAAAACCGTATAATTACAAGGAACTCCTGATGTAAATATATATGTTTATACATTGTTTCGTACGATTTTATGATCGAAGATGAACAAAACTTGTTTATCCACATACCATTTAAAGTTTTGAATGTAGTAATTTCGAAACATAGTAGCGCATTTTATAGTTTTATATCTTTTCTCCGTGTACATAAAGACGTCAAACGATTAAAACTATATTCGACTATAATAGTTAATTAACCAATAAATAAGCAAATTCAGCTTAAATCTAACAAACAATTAATAATTTAGAAGTTAATTCATTTGAAAGCCAAATCAAAATTGATTATTAGGAACAATTAACATGATGATAAATGCAAAACAATTTTAAATCTCTATTTGCATTATTTAATGATAAACGAGTAAATAAATCAGTAAATTTTTGTTTAAGAAACCTGTTTAATCGAGTAAATTTATATATAATTTTAAAAAATACTGATTAAGCCTCATCAAATTACACATTGTAATCTATAATATATAAATTTTTTAAGAAAGATAAGGGAATAAAACCATAATAATTAATCAAATTTTCATTAAGAGTAACAGTCTAGAAGATTGTTAAAATGTCTTTTTTCTTAATACAACTATCATCAGTCATGCACACATAAGAAGAAATTCGACATCAATTCTTTCGTTTTTCTAGTCAAAGTTCAAGTAGAAATTCTATTACCAGAAACTAATTCGTCATTCTCCAGAATAACTTTCTAAAAAAACCTGAATTGTGGGTAGAATATGCCATTGCACAGCTGTTAGTTTGAATGAACGGAGTTTATAGTACTTTCCTCCTTTACCTATTGAAATTTTATACTGTTTTTTGCAAGCAGATTTTTTNATTTTAAATCTCTATTTGCATTATTTAATGATAAACGAGTAAATAAATCAGTAAATTTTTGTTTAAGAAACCTGTTTAATCGAGTAAATTTATATATAATTTTAAAAAATACTGATTAATCCTCATCAAATTAAGAAAGAAAAGATCGATTATCGATCCGAATCGATCCAATTAAATCAGATCGAAATCGATCTGTTAAATTAATTAAAAGTATTACTAAATCCTAAAACCTAATTAACTAATTAATTTATATTAAATTAATTCATCAAATTAAGCGTAAAGTTAATTAAATTGTCAGTTTAACGAATGAAATCTTCGACGTGATAGGTATACTAAACATATCTAAAAAAAACAATCACATAAAAATCTCATTGGAAAATAATAAAACATAAATTTTATCTTGTGTTTTACAACTTATAAATATTCTGCATGGATTTTACGTAAGTTTATGCAAGTTTTTGTAATAGTAAAGTTGGGTTTCTGTGAAAAAATGCTGTCGAGTGAAGATAAAAGAAGTGTATTTACCTCTTGGCAGTACTGGCCTTGTTCCATTTGTGGCACATTCTAATCCTTTGGAAGCACAAAGCAATAAGAAGATGGCAAACAACACTCGATAGTGTTTCATAGCTGATTCAAAGAGAACCTGAAAGAAAATTTTTTTTTATTTAATATTTAAAAAAAAAAAAAAAAAAAAAAATATGAAAAAAGAAAGAAAAACAAAGGAAGTAATGCATCATGGAGTCAATTTGATCGACATTTTCCTTATAAAGGGGAGGCCACATCAAAATACAATATTCTAGATGGGCAATACTCACTGATTGATAACAAAGTGAACTGTTATGAGTTCACTACTCAATTTACTTCCCGAGAATAAAGGGGAAAAAAGGAACATGATAAAATGATTAATAGGATTAATAATGTGAGTAGGAAAAGTTTCGTCAATAATAATAATATGGTAACTGTCATTTGGATAAGGTGAAGGAAGGAATTAGCTTTCTCTTCTACTCTCTGTTTTAAAATCGAAGTAAAATTTACATATAGAAGGATTAAGAAATAAAGTAATTCAAACAACTCCAAGAATTTACGTTAGTTAGAAATTGTTTAAATTAAATGTAACTTTGTAGAATAAATATTTGAAATTAAAACAATTATCAATGATAAATTAATAAAAGGAAGATGCTGAAATTTAATTGTTAAAATATTTTCAAATCAGTGGAAAAAAATTGCATTTTTAGGATTAAAATTTTCTATACACAACGTGAAAAATGTGGTTTTCCAGTTTAAAAATTACAATATTGAGGTTAAAGAATAGAATTTTTATGACTAAACACTGCAATGTTGAAGATAAAAAAAATACAAATTTAAGGATTAAAAATTACAGTTTGTAGAATGAAAAGAAGTACAGTATAATTTTTTAGGATAAAAAATACAATATTTAAGAAAAATACAATTTCCAACTTTCAGAATTGAAATAAGACGAATACAATTTTAGAATAAAAAATGCAATATTTGGCAANTCATTTCTGAATTCGCTGCCACTTTCTTCCAAACATGATATAGTCCAGTTGATTGCTGTCACGAAATTTCGTTTCCTTCCCCTCCTGTTATTCCTCTTTTTTTTATTTTACGTGACATTTTACAACATTATTACTCTATAAAGTGTTACGTTTATTTTTAAACTGTTGCAAAGTGAATTTTCTAAATGCTTGAATAAGATCATTTTACATAATCTTCTTGGAGATGAACCAAAAAATACAAACATTTTCAAAATGTCACGCATTAAATTTTATATTATTAAATTGTATTTTTTAAACGTTTTTCTACGTATACATTTTAAATATAGGCCTATATATTCTATTTTTCTACTTAAAATGATTAATTAGATATAATTAATTACATTTATCCATTTAAAGATGATTAAGAAATTATATGTAAATTTAAAGTATATAAAAATATGAAATTATAGATATTTTTAAATTAAACATCATTTTAATTAATTATGTATAATAATTTTAAATCAAAGAATTAATTAAATTCGTTATAACTTAAGCGAAACTTTCTCGAAACTAATCCAAGAAATTCGTTTCTTTTTCTAAAATAATAAAAAACATTTTTAAAATGTAGAAGTCAAGTTTAACAATTTCATAAATTTAAAATATGAATACTACATAAATGCAATTAATTTTAATACGTTTATCTCTGCACTTAACTAGGCTTACATATTTTCTAAGTTGTAATGCACTTTAATGAGATGATTTACATTGTAATGCTGCATGTTTGACGGACACGAAATTCCAGATGTAGTTTATTCTACTACATGAAGTTTATTTCTATTCAATTGATTTTTATTTATCTGGGTCAACATTCGCATCCAGAAACATTACCTTGGCGCTTTCTTTTCTTTTATTATCATGTCAATCCCTCTATCTTATTGACCGCAACTAATCATCACCGTTCCAACATACTAAATCCTTCTAATCTTAAATATTTACATGCAGAATCTTATTGCTTATTAAAAAACTTGAAAGATTTCAGAAAAAACATTATTTAGTAAGTTTTAAATAAAATAACTTAAACAATAAATAAGAATAAATCAAAGAACTAGCTATAAATCCTGTAAGAACTTGAACAACGAGTCAGTGATAATAATTTATAGCCAGTTCTTTAACTTATTCTAGTTTTATCCATATTTATCCTTTTATCTTATTTAATAGATAACTATAAGTCCTTAAAGAATCGTATTGACTCCTTAAGGATTTTTTGGATATAAATTCTTTAAATTATAAAATACGAATCCTCAAAAACTTTAATTTTTAAGGATTGGTTATNCTGATAAGAAGCCATTATCGCTGCTGACATTGTTTGAGATGTGAAGATTCCATTTTGTTCATTTCTGAATTCGCTGCCACTTTCTTCCAAACATGATATAGTCCAGTTGATTGCTGTCACGAAATTTCGTTTCCTTCCCCTCCTGTTATTCCTCTTTTTTTTATTTTACGTGACATTTTACAACATTATTACTCTATAAAGTGTTACGTTTATTTTTAAACTGTTGCAAAGTGAATTTTCTAAATGCTTGAATAAGATCATTTTACATAATCTTCTTGGAGATGAACCAAAAAATACAAACATTTTCAAAATGTCACGCATTAAATTTTATATTATTAAATTGTATTTTTTAAACGTTTTTCTACGTATACATTTTAAATATAGGCCTATATATTCTATTTTTCTACTTAAAATGATTAATTAGATATAATTAATTACATTTATCCATTTAAAGATGATTAAGAAATTATATGTAAATTTAAAGTATATAAAAATATGAAATTATAGATATTTTTAAATTAAATTTATTGAAATTCTTCTAACTTAATTTATACATTCGTATCGAAAATTTATTTAAAAAAAAAGGTGATAAATGATTAATTTGCTTGTGTGACTTACTGACGGCTGTTCAACTCTCTGCTATAACGTAGTACCTAATATTGATTTGGTTTGGCGTCAGTTGAATTCACCTCAGAAGATTGGATGTCAGTTATATTTGACCTTTTTAATCCATAATCTTATATTAAATTTTTATTTCTTTATCTAAAATAATTCTTTCTTATAGAGAAATATCCTTTACTAACAAGATCAAGAACGTCAAACATCAGTTATTATTATTGGACGGATATTTGTCTTAAAGATCATGACGCTAACGATATTCTAGATAATCTGATTTAAGAAATGAGAAATTTAAGTCAAACAACTTAATGAATATAATCAGTGTAAAATGCATTAGAAACAGAAATCGTGTCAATGCCATTTTGGTAGATTTTATCTGTATTTTAAGACTTATTCAAGCACCAGAAAGAGAAAAAACATCGCTGAACATCCTCTAAAATAGCCTTACTTTTAAGTATTAAACATTAAGTACCAGTGTAATCCATTAATGAAATGGTATCTTGATCCTTTCTCCATAAAAATCCACACTTTAGCAATGACTCTGACCTTGACAGATTCTTTTTGGCCTTTCACAATTGATTTACTTCACTAAAATATTAAATTTGTAATTATTTATCAAACTATTTTAAAATTCTAGCTAATTGTTAGTCTCATTAAAATATAATATAATATATTTGAAATTATCATTCAGAACTTCAGTAGGTGGATGAAACCTATAACCTTGCATCAGTATCTATTCAATTATAAGTCTTTAATTCATTAAACTGCATCAATAAAGTGAAGACCCTCAAGCAAACTGCTGCTTTCAAAGTACTGCTAATGAAGCAGAATCTGTACCATTTATTTTCCTGATGTACAACATACCAAGCTCTAACTAACTTATGTATGACCTATAACTAGAGTAATTTAACAATAATGTATGATGAGTTTATATGCTAAATGTTATTAAATTAGCAACAATGTAGTCTAAATAATAATAAGTCATATTCAGCAAAATTGTGTATTATAATTATAATTTAAAAATCATTTAAAAAATTAAAGATTATTTAGTTATTTTTATTAATTTACNATATAAGAAATAAGAAAATATTTTATATATTTTTATTCTATTTTATTTCGATTTTTACTGAATTACATCCAGGAGAATAAAAGTTATTTTCCTTATATATGGATGAAAATAATGAGACAGAGTTGATAAAATTCTATGGAAACGTTTTATTTAAATCCTTCACAAATATTCTAAAATTTGAAAAATAAAATAGAGGAAAAAATAGAACTTTTTCTCTTATATAAAGTAGAAATAAAAGGAAGTGGAAAATAACAGGAAAGTGAGAAAGTTGTCAAATAAAACTTTCAGTAGGTGGCTTCGATCACGATTCCAATTGTATTGATGGAATCGTCGCGAATTTTCAAAGTAAGGAAAAGGTAGAAAGATCTTCCTGAAAGCACCAATAAAGAGGAAAGAATGTTTTCGTCCTGTTCATTCGATGATAAATTTCGTTGACCGAACCAAGAAGGTTAGTCGAGCAGAATTTCCGTTTCCGCTCGGAAATCGGACTTATACCGGATATGATGTCAAAGAATTCGAATAAAACCGAAAATTTAAATTGTAATCATTCAATTTCAATTATTTAACCTTTGACTCTTTATTTTTTAAATTCTTTGTTAAAGTAAATTTAATGCATAAATTACAATTTTCGAATCCTTAGATATTTGTATTAAGGATGCAGAATCGACTTCATCTAGAAATGATGATGTCGATTCTTACTAACTTTAACTTCTTTCAGTTGGACATTTCCATAATTTAAAACGTTTACAATCAATCGAAATCTTTAAATTACTTAATTTAATTGTAAAAATTTTAAATTTTAACAGAAATAACTTTTGTAGAACTTAAAATTTAATTATTTTCTCTCTAAAGACATTTTTCAATATTTGTATATACTTTTAAGTTAAATATTTTCCTATATTTTAATCAAATATTTTTAAATTAAACATCATTTTAATTAATTATGTATAATAATTTTAAATCAAAGAATTAATTAAATTCGTTATAACTTAAGCGAAACTTTCTCGAAACTAATCCAAGAAATTCGTTTCTTTTTCTAAAATAATAAAAAACATTTTTAAAATGTAGAAGTCAAGTTTAACAATTTCATAAATTTAAAATATGAATACTACATAAATGCAATTAAT